GTATAATGGAATTTTGTATTTGTAATCTTAATTGAAGATCATCACAGGGTAAGTAAACTGAGATGATTCTAAATTTAAAATTATATTTGAAAAAAATATCTATAGCTATTGCGTATCCTGAGATAGTAAAAATCTTGTGGATATGAGGTTTGATCTAATTGTTAAGCATAATAGCTGTACCAGCTTTGGAGCTGTTGGTGCATGACCAGTAGTATGTAAAATGTTTGGATTTTTGAATTTTAGTAATAGGGTTTATATCAGCTATTTTGGTTTCTGTAATACCAATAATGTTGAGATTATTAGTAAGACAGTAATGCTTCCAAATTTGTTGTTTAAGGTCAGTGTTGTATCCTCTAACATTGTGAGTACAGATATTTAAATTGAGTAGTTGATAAGTTGGTTGAGAGTGAGTAGTTGATAGAAAAGTAGAAGTGTTTGATTGTGATTTTAGAGGAATATTATAGAAAACGTAAGTTGATAGTATATAATGATTTAGAAGTCTGTTGAATTCATGTAGTAAGTACACATGTGCTTCAGTTTTGTTATTATTAACAGTAATGAAAGAATAGTCAGCCAGGTAGTTGGCATTGTTTTGTCGTAAGTGTTGTAGGAAGGAATTAATAGTTTGTGGTTCGCTTAGTAAAGGAAGATTGTAGTAGGTAAGGAATTTGTTATAGCATTTTTCCAAATTATAGGAGTTTGATGATATTGATAATGATTTAGACAAGGGAACTTCTGCAGAGTCGCTCACCATTTCAAGCTCGGTTCTCACAGCTGCGCAGGATACCATAGTCTGCCCTGTATGTTGGGTCTGACCGTCATATAAATAGTCCTCCGCATAAATGGACTTAACCACCTGTCCACTTACATCATTCTCTTCTGAAAATGGCCCACTTGAAGTGGAGAACATAATTATTTCAGAAGCGGTGGCTGCATTCATGTTTTCTGCAGAAGATTCTATTGAAAAGGATTAAAGGATAGTGTAGTAGTATGAGAATTGAGATCTTGTGTAGAGTTAGAAGTTGGATTATTCTCATCTGTATAATGATCTGTCATAATAGTATCATTATCTAAGTTGATAGTTGTGTTTGGTGGTTTTTGAGATAGTAGTACATTAAGATAAGGATTGTTCGGATTTGGTGAGGTAATAGTAGACTTAGTGGTTTGTGATTGAGTAGTAATAGGTTTAATGAGATTAAGACTAGGTTTGTTGAAGTTGATTTTGAATTTAGTAAATAAGATTTGTTCAGCTTCTGGATAGAATTGTTCAGTATAGGCTTTTCTAATAGCAGGCATAGAAGGTTTGTTTAATGTAAGGATATGGAAGTATGTAATTATATGAGCTAAAGTCTCTGTATTAATAGGTTTAGAAGTAATTTTGTCAATAGCCTGTTGTTTGTGTAGATTTTTGATTTGGTCATTAGTAGCAGCATTATCCAAATAAGATTTGAAATAGCTATAAAAATAATAGCTAAGTCTTGCTTGACTAGTGTTTGAGTTCTCAAGGTTGTTGATTTTCAAGAATTGTTTTTCAGTTTCAGTTGCAAGTTTACGCAAGGATGTAATAGATGTAGGTTTAGAGAATGTTGCTGCTAATTTTTGATTTTTCTCGAAGATAGAAAAATCTAAAGTAGGCTGTTGATATTGTGGTTTAGAGACATTGATTGGAGCTGAAAAGGGTTTGAATGAGTCATTGAAGAAAAGTGTAGAAAGGTTTTTAACAGTATGGTCAACATCAGGTGGGAGAGTAGTACAGTTATCAACTGTACAAATGTGAATATGAAAAAGAGCAGCTTTAAAGCAAAGCTGAATTCGTTCTCTTAGAGAATTAATAGAAGTTATAGTAAATGTAGGAGGTAGAAGTTGTTTGTATATGTTAGCTAATTTTATAGCAATTTGGTGCTTGATATAATTAAAAGTTTTTTGCTTATCAATTTTAGAGAATTGTCATTGATATGAGGTGAAGAATTTTTCATACCATGCTTCAAATTCAGGAAGGTGTTTTTTAAATGAAGGAATTTGAAAGTTTTTTAGAAATAGTTTTTTGTGAATATTAAATTGGATATTAATATTGAACTTATTATCATGATTAATTTTGAATAAGAGCTGGTTAGGGGTATCTTCACTAAAAAAATAGTGAAGTCTAAATCGGATAGGTCGGATGTTGAGGTTTTCATAGAATTTCTTTGCATGAATTGTAGTATATTTATCATATAATACTAAGTGTAAACGAGCTAGATTTAATGCAATTTGGTTTCGGTTGGTAATGGTATAAGATGAAATTGAGCTATAAGAGGTAAGGAATTTAGAATAGTTCATTTGCGTAAATAAAGAAGTAGTAAATTCCTTAAGTAAGTCTCTAAAGGTAGAGTGAATAAGCTCAAAAAGGATAGTAATATTTCTATCAATTTGAGGGTTAGCCTCATAAATAAAGTTGGTAAGGAATTCAGGTCTTTGGCCTGCTAGAGATTTGATGAGAAAGTTATAACTGAATTTTCTTTCAGGTAGGTTTTTGATTGGGTCTGCTTTTGAATAATTTTCCCTGAATAAACATCAATAAGATGTGGTTTGATAAAGTTGAATATTTTGTAAGCTAGAGTATTATTGAATTTGGTATATGGTTCCATTTCTTTAGTAATAGGAAATTCTTTAAACCAGTCTAAATTATTAGACGTATCTCTAGCTGGTTGGTTAGATTTGAGAGTATTTTGCTTAGCAGCTTTTTTGGTAAAAAGTGAAATGAAGACTTGAATCCTTTTCTGAAGAGTCATGTTTTTAAATTTAATAAATAAAATAAGCATTTTTTGTTGAAGGTTAAGTGGTGCTGATAGAAGGCTGGGTTTAAGTTTGATGTTATAAATAAGAGGTATGCAGTTTCTGTGAATAAGACAGCCTTTAAAGATACAACCAATAGTGTAATCAGATGCATGATTACATTTTTCAGTTGATACGCAGGGAAGATTTTGGTTTTGCAGAGTACACAGGTATAGTAATGTTGGGAGTGAGGAATAATAGCTGTAGAAAGGGTGCGTTCAGTTTGAAAAGTTAGAAATAAAATGCGTGGTTTAGATTGGGATGATTCTTCTTGTTCGGATGTTAGCATTTTGATGATAGGAGATTTGGAGAGTTCAATAGCTTGTTTTAGTAGGTTGTTAGAAATTTCATTGATAGTTTCTTGAGTAGGAGGTTTACTGAGTGCTGTTGGGTGTTCAATTCGATAATTCTTAGAGGTGAAGCTAGTATGATACTTGCTACAAAAACAAGTACCAATAGCAGGTTGTAATGGAACTTGAAAGAAATGTTGTCGTTTAATAGGATTGCATGCTTCTGGTTTGTAGGCTGGTTGAAGAACTTTTAATTGTTCTGCTTTATTTTTGTTGATTCCTAATCCATGACGGTCTTTATAATTAGTATGATAATAATCTAAATTGTAGGAGTCTGGTTCTTCATTAATAAAAATTGGCATTTTGGTGATATGCTTTTTTTAGAAGGTGTGACAAATAAGAGGCATGACAAATAACAGGATGTGACAAATAAGAGGTGTGATATGTAAGGGTGTGACAGATAAGATGTCACCTGGTGTAACAATAAAATGATCAACGGATTGATGTGTGATCAACGTAAGACAAAAGTTGTGTAATTTAATTAAAAATAAGTTACTAAATTTAGATTAAATTTAAAAATAGATGAAACAGGAACTTGACTTGTGTAAATTGATTTGTAATATTGATTTGTAATCAAAGATCAGCAGGTCTGGACGTCCTAGAGGGCTGGGTTCCCCAAAAAAGAGAAGAAAATTTTTGCAAAAATAAAGTGCAATTTTTGCAAAGTATTTTAGTTATAAAATTATCAATTTTAGTTTGTTTATAATGTTTTATATATCAAAATGAAGCTGTGAGTAAGAAGAATCTTTTTGTCTTAATAAGCAAGAGTGATTCACTTAATAAAATTTAAAGATATTGTAAAGAGAACAAAAAATTAAATTTTAGCTATATCTCTATAAAAAAAACCTCTAAGAGATATAATACTAGGCCGCCTATATGTAAAATTTTGTCAGGAACAATTTTACTTAGGCAGCCAGAATAGGTTTACTTAGTAAAATATTGAGAAAAGTGTAATTGTTTTTAGCTAAAACTTGGTACAAGTGATCATCAGGAAGAGTTAGTGATTTGTCTTTTTGAACAATTTATTATATATAGCACTCTATATATAAAATATAGAAATAGCTACATATGTAAGCTTAAAACTACAATACATCTAAATTAGCATTAAATCCATCTATAAGGTTATATTGCTTTCATATTGCAAAATTTTCTTGTACTAATCATTCTAATGAGATTATAAAAAAATTTTTTTTTAATTGTTGCTCGATATATAGATATCAAGGCTATACTTGCTGGCCAAACCTAGACAAATTCCAAACCCTTAAAAAACAAATTACTTTTATAAAAAATTAAATCAAAAAAAATAATTTTAACATTTTATAAATATATTATATATAACTATAAGATTATATATCATTTGTTTAAATAAAGATTATTAACAAAGTTTTTGAGATAATAGTTTGAGCTTGAGTTTGAGATTTAGACACAGACAAATCTAAACTATAATAGTTTGAGATTTGGGCGGCAAGTATAATTGAGGCAGCTTTTATATCTGATCAAACATGTGATAGACCTGGTTATGATCATATGTTTAATCAATCAATTGAATGAAAGAACAGTATGTATTTGAAGTACATAGCATTTTGCATATTAAATATAGCATTAAACACAGGCACAACAAAAACTTATCAAACAAATGAAAAGCTATAAATTTATAATTGCAAAATCATATCAAATAGCAGAAATTGTAATTTCACTCACAAGTTCATCTGCTTAATTCAATAAAGTTATTTTTCAAAGGACAATTTTGAGAATCATGATACCATGACTTATATGTACTATACTGACGCTTGGTTTTCTTTTTTGATCCTAATTCTGATAGTTCAGTTTGATTACTCAAACTACAATTTTGCTATTATTTTCTTCAATCATTGTTAAGTATCTTTTGTTTGCAGAATGGTCTTTACCCTTGTGCTGATGTAGATTTGAAATACTAAATTTGTTATTTTCTCAATTTAACTTTTGTTCAGGTATATTTTATTTTGTACTGAAATTTGTTTATCAATAAATTGTTGTAATATATCTTCTAAAGTTTTATTAGAACCATTTGTGATCACTATATTTAGAGCTTTTTTACAAAGTCTAAGACCACGACCATAAGAAACTTTTTTCAAATCCAATTCTACAATATTTTTAATATCAATTTCTTGTCTATAAATTCTTTGTAATATTTGAAATGTACTAGTTGAAAGTGGTTCACCTTTATTTTGTATTATCTGAACAGATGATCCTTGATTGTCTAATGCTGTAAGACCTTCAGAATACTAGTAAAAGAGAATCAGCTTCATATTGAAGAGTACCTTTTTTGATTGTATTGTTATAGAACAGTTTTATTTTATTAGTTTATTATTTTATCTTAGTATTATTTTATTATTTGTATTTTATTAGTTAGTTATTATTATATTTATCTTAGAGAAGAATTTAAAAGATATGGATAACGATTAGTCTTAATGCTTAACGCTTAGCAATTTACGATTAGCGATTATGCTTAGTGATTAGTGATTACGCTTAGCGATTAGCGATTATATTTAGTGATTAGCAATTACACTTAGCGATTAGCGATTACCCTTAGTGATTAACGATTAGCGATTACGCTTAACGATTAGTGATTAATTATTAATACTTAACACTTAACAATTAGCGATTACAATTAGCGCTTAGCACTAAGTAAACTACGCTTAGCTGCAACGATTAGCGATTAGCTCTAAAGATATAAAAA